TTAAGGGGTGTAACCACCTCCTTAATTCGCTCCTCAGTGGGGCTAATGGGATGTAACCGCCCCTTAAATCACTCCTGAGTGGAGTTGTGATCTCCTCAGATCGTGAAAAACGGTTTTGAAACCATTCAGCTCATGTTTGAACGAGTCAAACGCAAAATCCGCGTTCTGGCGTGAATTCTGCATTCAAACGCAATGTCTGAAAGCTTGAACGCAGCGTCTGGAAGCTGCATTGGCATCTTGTTGGAAGTTGTGTTTGGCAGCTTAGAATCTGCGTTTAGCAGCGGATGGAAGCTGCGTTTGGCAGCGGATGGAAGCTGCATTTGGCAGCGGATGGAAGTTGTGTTGGCAGCAGATGGAGGCTGCGTTTGGCAGTGGATAGAAACCGGAGGCTGCGTTTGGCAGTGGATGGAAGCTGCGTTGGCAGCCTTCGGAGGCTGCGTTTGCAGCCGATCATGAGCTGCGTTGTCAGTTGGATCTAAGCTACATTTGCAGCGTTTGGAGTTGCGTTTGTGCTGCGTTTGTGCTGCGTTAGCAGCGATTTGGAAGCTGCGTTGGCAGCGTTGGAAGCTGCATCTGAGCTACGTTCATGGCTATGAACGCGACGCGTCTTGATGCTGGTACGCGGGGAGGACTTCTACGTCTTGATTTGTAGAGACCGTCGATTTGTAGTCTCTTTCTGTTAGAGCGTTACAAAGATCATTGTTTTGTAATCTTTGCTTTAGCTCTTTGATATGTGAGAGTCGTCAAATTGTAACTCCTGATGTTGATTGTGAAGGCTGTTGATTAGAGCTTTCATCAGTTGTCGTGAAGATCGTCAGATTGTAACCTTCAGCGATCTACGTGAAAGTCTTCAAATTGTAGCCTTCTGGAAGTCGTCAGATTGTAACCTCCATCATCGGTGTTTGATGGGGAATCAGCTATCTATTGTGATTTTTAGACAGCCTACAGCGGGGAATTTTATCCCGAATCTTAAGTAAGGGATAAGTCAGTGCCTAACACGCGTTATCGGTTTAGTCTTTCACCGAGTGAAAAAGACACCAGAATCCAAATCTGGGAACTTTTATCTCGAAGCCTAAGAAGGGATAAGTTAATGCCTAACACGTGTTGCTGGTTTAGTCTTTCACCTATTAAAAAAGACACCAGAATCGAAGTCTAGGGAATTTTATCCCGAATCCTAAGTATGGATAAGTCAACGTCTAACACGCGTTGCCGGTTTAGTCTTTCACCGAGTAAAGAAGACACCAGAATACAGGTTTGGGGACTTTTTTCCCGAATCCTAAGAAGGGATAAGTCAGCGCCTAACATGCGTTGTCGGATAGTCTATTTTCGTAAGAAAGACGAAGTCTACGTATTCAATATCGTAGCACTAAAAGAGTTAAATCTTTTAGCGCAACGTTACATGCAGAACGGACTTAAACAATCTGCATGCTATCCCGACTCAAAAGGTAGTCGGTAAAGGCTCATCAAACCCATTGATGGCTGAGGGTTTGCCAAAAATCCTATAAATAGGAGAGTCATTTACGCACCGACTCTATTAGTTGATCTCGTGACTTGAGGATCCAACAACTTCAGGATAAAATCCATACATGCAGATGAATCAGCTTTAAAAGTTAGTCCTGCAGCTCTAACATTTGGAACCGCCACGCTCCAAGAGCTTAAACTGTATAGACTCCAGTAAACGTACGAGTTTAAACTGTGTTAACGCCGGTCAACGCATAGTCCTAGGTCAATGCTAGTCAACGCGTTGCGATGAAAGTCAACACCAATCGATGTGAAACCCTAAGGTCAACGCCGGTCAACGCGTAACCCAAGGTCAACGCTAGTCAACGCGTTACAATGAAAGTCAACACCGATCGATGCGAAACCCTAAGGTCAACCTCGATCAATGTGTAGCCCCAGGTCAACGTCAGTTAATGCGTTGCGATGAAAGTCAACACCGATCGATGCGAAACCCTAAGGTCAACGAAGGTCAACGCGTAGCCCTAGGTCAACGCCAGTCAACGCGCTGTGATAAAAGTCAACCGATCAACACATTGCAACGGAGATAATTAGTTCAAAGTCAACTTAATGACACGAGCCAAAACTAGCTCACCAATTTCAATTCGAGACTTCGACGACGGCGAGACGATAAACGCAGCGCCGGAAGAACTTCAGCTATTCATCAAAATATTGAATAGACTAAAAAGTGAAGAAGTCAAAGATCGAAGCTGACTACAGGTCCTTTCACACTGACTGAAGGTTGGACCGATCACATCCAAAGTATTTCAGTCTCGTCTATAAAAGAAACGAGACTGAAACACTTTGGATGGGGTATCTATAGGCGTCAAAAATTACCTATGGGTTCTCGCATGTAGCTCGAAGTAGAGAGAAGACAATGAATGTCACTATCCGAGTCACTAAAGCTTAATTGATGTCGATGAGTGTATGAAGTAAGTCGATGAATCGTGTGAAGCAACTGAACTGCAGAATAACGAAGATACGAACTGATCGGGAGCTATGTTTCGCTTACGAAAGATAAAGCGCCCCTCATGTCCCATCTACTCCACATATGATTCAACCATGGGAGCTTGTAGATTTCCTCGTTGGCTTTCCGTCGCACTTTGAATTGCATAATTTCGAGTTCGGACGACGAAGATACGACGGAAACGGACGGGACGCGCAAAACAGTATCCTGGACCTTAGCGGAGACACCGCACGTGTCTTGGCCAAGGCCGAGACACCCCAAGTGTCTCGGCCAGAGACACTGCGAGTGTCCGCAAGCCTAAAAAGTCGTTTTTTGTAGTTTTGAGCTGTTTTTTGCCCGTTAACCACCTGGATTTGTTCCAACTGATCTAATATCATGCTAAAACGTGATAAAGTGGTTACAACTGAGGATAAGAGTAAATCGGTGATTCTTATCCGAAACCAGAGCTCCTGAGGCCTATAAATACAGCCCTAGGGCCTTCATTTGCACATATCCGAAGGGAGCAACGAATTTAAGAGAGGTTAGTGAGATCTTGGCGAATTCTTGTGTATAAAGAGTGGATTTCGAGAGATCCGAAGCCCCGTTCCCCCATTCCTCCGGATCAAACTTCTTTTGATCTCGAGAAGAGTCGTAATCTCGCTTGGTCGAGATTATCACTTCAGTGATTACTTTTTTTGTGAAGTAAGAGCTTTAATCAATCTTCTGTCAACCGGATCTGATCCGCGGTGATCCACAGACTAACACGTCCCCTGCACAGGCAAAGATCCCACGCAAGCAACAGGAGATAAACTGCTGTTGTGTGTTGTTTGAAGGAATTATAATCTTTATATTTTCATTGTGTAAGAAGATATTATAAAAAAAGATCAACTTTTTATTTATTTGAGTTTATTGTAACGGCTAAAGTTGTAATAGATTCGATGACAATGAAAATAGCAATTTCTAACCCAATCATGATGTAAATAAAATTTATTATATTATGAATATATAATTTTTACATTAACATTTGTTAGCAATAAATTATTTTATTATTAAAAAATATTTTATTTTATAATAAATTATATTATTTATTACATAATATATTAATATTTTATATATTATATTAATACATTATTAACATATTAAATATTGGTATTTAATATGTTATTATATTATTATATAAAATATTTTATTTATTATATTTTTATATCATTTAATATGTATTAATAATATATTAAATTAACTATAATATACTATAATATAATATAATATAATATAATAAGAAAATTGATAATAATTATATATTAATTATATTTAATATAATATGTTAGATATTATATTAACACCTTCTCAAACTCAAAACCAAAACACCAAATTTTAAACACCTAAAATGTGTTTTGAAATAAGTGTTGTGTTTTTGCTTTGAGGATGATTTAGCACAAAAGATACCATGGTTTTCAAACGCATGATATTTTATTTTTGGCAAAAACACCATAGAAATAAGTAAAACATCTTGATATCCAAACGTAGCCTTACAGAATTGGCAAGTGGTTTTTATCCTTGAACCAGGGGTTTGAAAGTGAGCTATAAGAGGAAGTTGCAGTAGCAAACAAATCTGATTAATGCAAATCACCAACCTCGATACGTTTGACCCCAATTTGTTCATAACGCCTGCCTCAGCAGATTTGCAGTAGGTTTGAACTCTTCTGCAGTTACTCAAAACTCAATAATATTGGCTACTAATTAATTTTCCCACAACAGTCAAACTCTAGTTTGTATCACAAAACTTGTCCCCTTTCCCTCCAAAAACACTATAAATTCCCCCATCATCTCAAATATCTCTTCACACTCATCGTAAGCAATGGAAAACTTCAGATTGATGTTTTCCTCCCAGCTTTTTCTCTTCGTCTTCTGTTTCTCTCAAACAAACGCTGGTGCTCCGGCGACCAAAACCTACATTATCCAGCTCCGGCTCCCTGAAAACACCACCATCGCCCGCCGGCCAGAGGATCTCGAAAGTTGGTACCGATCTTTCTTGCCAAACACCACGGAAAGTTCCGGTGGGGGTCCCCGCGCTATATCCATCAATACAGCGGAGGCCACTCGTCGCCGGCAATCTCACCGACGATGAGCTCAAGAACGTCGAGGCAAAAGAGGGCTTCTTGAAAGCCTACCCCGATCAAGTACTCCCGCTCTTAACGACGCACACACCGACGTTCCTCGGATTGCAAGAAGGAAACGGGTACTGGAAAGGGTCGGATTATGGTCGAGGAGTAATCATTGGGATGCTCGATAGTGGCATCGTTCCCGATCACCCATCGTTCAACGACAAAGGAATGCCTCCGCCGCCGTCCAAGTGGAAGGGCGCATGCAATTTCAAGAAGCCCACCGGATGCAACAAGAAGGTTATCGGTGGTCAAGCGTTTGACGGCGATAAATCCGAGCCTCCGATGGACGATCATGGTCACGGGACCCACACGGCGAGCACAGCTTTGGCTATCTACAAAAGGTGGCTGCCGGCCTTTTGGGTGCAACTGCGGCGGCAGGGTTGCTCGCCGGGATGGATGCCGCGATTAAAGACGGTGTCGACATAATTTCGATGTCATTGGGAGGTACTATTCATGACTATCGTCAGGATGTGATCGCCATCGGTGCGTTTTCGGCGATGGAGAAGGGTATTTTCGTCAGTTGTGCGGCCGGTAACAGCGGTCCGGAGTCGGAGACGCTAAGTAACGAAGCGCCGTGGATTCTCACGGTTGGAGCGAGCACAATGGATCGAAGCATACGAGTCACTGTCAAGCTCGGCGATGGACAAGAGGTCAATGGTGAATCGGTGTTCCAACCGAAGAACTTCACATCCGAAGCGCTGCCTTTGGTTCGCCCAAATGGGAGTGGATCCCTTTACCAAACAAATTGCTTAACTCCGGCAATGAACGGCATCGTCAACGGCAAGATCGTCATGTGCGAGCGACCGGAGAGTGGTCCAAGAGTCGAGATCGGTTCGACGGTAAAAGACTCTGGCGGCGCCGGTATGATACTCATCAACGCCGAGCAAGACGGGTACACGACCCTGGCCGAGGCTCACGTACTTCCGGCATCGCACATTAGCTACAACGACGGCCAGAAAATTTTCGCCTATTTCAAATCTTCGGACAAGCCGACCGCATCGCTCATATTCAAAGGAACAATCCTCGGCAACACCTCCGCTCCCACTGTCGCCTCATTCTCGTCCCGAGGGCCGAGTCTTGCAAGTCCTCTAGTTCTAAAGCCCGATATCATCGGTCCAGGTGTCAGTGTTCTCGCCGGATGGCCATCCGATGTCGAAACGTCTCACGATCAAAGCAATCCGACATTCAACATACTCTCCGGCACGTCGATGTCGACCCCGCATTTGAGCGGCATCGCCGCGCTTGTCAAGGGAATGCACCCCGAATGGTCGCCAGCAGCGATCAAGTCTGCGATCATGACGACATCCAACATCGCTTGCAACGATGGTAAACCTGTCATGAACGAGCTCCACGAGCCCGCTACCTACTACAAGATGGGCGCTGGGCATGTAAACCCCGAGAAAGCGTCGGATCCGGGTCTAGTCTACGACATATCCGCTGATGATTATGTCGGATTCCTTTGTGGGCTCGGATACTACGACAAAGACGTCGAGGCGGTGACCCGACGGAAGGTGAAGTGTGCCGATGTCGCGAAAGTCAACCAGTCGCAGCTGAACTATCCGTCGATAACGGTGTATCTTCTCTCCGGCGAGAAGACGGTGACTAGGACCGTGACTAATGTGGGGGGAGGGAAGGAGAAGTATGAAGTGAAGTTGGATGTGCCGAAGGGAGTGGAGGTAAGCGTGGATCCTGAGGTGTTGGAGTTTGACGAGGTAAATGAGAAGAAGAGCTTTGTTGTGAGTTTTAAAAAGAAAGAGGAGGGGGAGGATGATTTCGTTGAAGGGGAGATGAAGTGGGTTTCGGATAAGCATGTTGTTAGGAGCCCGATTATAGTTACGAAGGATATCTATGATTGAGTTGTTTGGGGACGTGCCATTGTTAATTCAATAATATTATTATGCAGTGTTTGTGGAGTCGTATCTAAAGCTTTATGTGGTGTTAATTAGCATGGTTAATGAGCATTTATGCAACTAATATTGATATCATCTTCTAATCTCTTTTACTAAAACAACGATCCAAGATGAGCTAACCTTATCTATATATGTACTACAACAAAGCCTTATATTTGCCGCTTGGCAACTTCTTAGAATTTTAGATATTAAAATCTAGTTTTGATGATTCAAATAAACAATATGATAATATTGGGAATACGAAAAATCATCTTTATAGTGTATAAAGGGCCTACTAAAGAAACTTTTCATTATTTATGAGCTCCTTATAATTTAACACATGAATCAAATTATACTTTTGTGACCCACCATTAACTTGTTAATTCTCATACAAACCCATTTGAATTCTCAACTCATCACATCTCTTTCTCTACTAATTTACTATAAAAATTTACCATCATCAACTTTATCCTGCAATATTTTATACAATCATTAATTTTTAGTTCAATAACAGGGGGGAAAAGCTCTGTTGGAACTTCATTCAATACAAATGGAGTGATATTATAAACAATGTCATTATTTATACAATTATATTTTAAAGGATGAAAATTAATATAAATATGTTTATTAAATTACAGTATAGAATTTATGTATGCAATATGTTGAATAAAGTTAAATCATAATTTAACAATATGTTTTAGAAAGTTAAGGCTAACACAAGTTCTAATTACTACAAGAAAGCATTTTTAATAAGAGGAATATATCACAAAATATGGATGTAATATTATTTAACAAATAGATATATGCTAATTCTTTTGTTCTCATTATATATATAGTAAGTTTAACAAATTTAAAGCATAATTCAAACACTCATGGTTATAATAGAAGTTTTTGAGCATCATAAAATCACAGCAAAAAGAATTGTTGTTAACTTTCTTAAATACTTATAGTTTATATTTTATTTTATTATTTTGGTAAATAATACATCTTAGAAAAATTCCCATACCATCGCACGAGTATAACACAGTAATTTTATAACTTCGGGTTGATTGTACATAAACCTAGGGTGTCCAAGAAACTCGGGCCAAACCGGGGTCCGAGCCCGGGCCCGGGTCGGCGCAAAGTCGCCCGGTTCGGAATCGGGCCCAGCCAAACGATCATATTTGGCTATTTTACCGATTTGCCCCTTAAAACGGTAAAAAAACGACTAGAATATGAGGGGTTTTGGTCATTTGCCTAGGGGGCTACCTCTATAAATAGAGGGGGGGGTTCACTTCTTCTCCTTACATCAAAACTCTTCTACTTCTCTCTAATACTCTTTTATACAATATTATACTCTCTTATAATCTCTTATATTTTCTAATACTTCTATCAAATGGCTTCCGGATCTGATTATGAAAAGCAACACCTATCTCCTACCGATCTAGAAATGAGTCCTCCTACAACAACTACTACTCCTCCTCCTACCGGTGTTAATCCTGAATCTGGTGGCGGCGAATCTACTGCACCGAGAGCTCCTAAAAGGCCGAGATCCGATGTGTGGAATTTTTTTGAGAAGATAGACGTCATCAAGGATGAACACAGTAGGATCATCTCCCAGAAGGAAAAATGTGAGTTGTGCGGCCAGGTTTTCCAAGCTCATCATAAGAGCGGCACTAACCATCTCAAACGCCATATAGAAAAACACAACAAATGTCAGAATCTTCAATGTGATATCCGATAGTCTATGATTTCTCAATCCTCCTCTTCTGATACCCTCGGTAGTTAGAATTATGACGCTACCCGAGCTAGGAAATACGTAATCAGGTTTATTGTTCTTAAAAACCTGCCTTTTAAATTAGTAGAAGATGATGAATTTGAAGATTTGTTTAGAGATGGTTTTTATCCTACATTTACAAAATTTTCTCGTCAAACATGTCAACATGATATTTTAAATTATTATCAGGAGGAACAAGGAAAAATAATTTCTTATTTTAAAAATTTAAACTGTAAATTTTCTTTAACTTCTGATATTTGGACATCTAGAGTACAAACTGGTTATTTATGTATCACGGCATACTGGATTGATAAATATTACCAAATGTTTAAAAGAATTGTTTCTTTTTTTACAATTGAACAGTTACACACTGGTATTAATATTAAAAATTTAATAATTGAAGAACTTATGAAACTAGAAATTGATCAAAGAATATTTTCTCTTTCACTAGATAATACAAGTAATAACAATATAGCTGTTGATTTTATTAAAACAACTCTGTCATTGCCATGTCATGGTGACCTTTTTCATGTTAGATGTATCTGCCATATTTTAAATTTAATTGTTCAAAGTGCATTTTCTGAAATTAAACCCATGATAGAAAGGTTAAAACAGTTGCTAATATGCATAACGCTTCTGAAATGAATTAAAAGATGGAAACAATGTTGTGAAAGAAAAAATTATAAGCCTAGACTAATTCCAAAAGATGTTGACCATATGTGAAATTCCACATATGCAATGTTAAGTATAGCAATAGAATATAAAGAAATTATAAATAATTTTATAAATTTTTGTGCTTCTAGTTTTAGCTCTGGTAGCACTTATGGAATAAGTGAAGATGAATGGACAATTATATGTAAATTAAATAAGATGTTACAAGTTTTTTATGATGCTACTATGTTATTATCTGGTTGTTATTATCCAACTATTACTTTAGCTGCTTTACAAATTTTAAATATTCAAAACAATTTGCCAAATATCGTATGGATGATATTTTTGGAAATATAATTTTTCAAATGGAGAGCAAATTTAATAAGTATTTTAGGCATATTCCTCATATTTTTGATTTGGGGGTTCTTATTGATCCATGTTTGAAGGATATTGGTCTTCGAAGTTTGTTACAGTCATTGTATGGTGGACAGATTATAGACTTAGATGATGGTTCCACCCTTACTGCTATTTCTCATCATTTATATGTTAGAAATTATTTTCAAACATTATATGATGAGTATGCAGCTAGACATGGTGTAGCTGCACAACAGTCTACAACTTCAGCGTCTTCGGCTTCGAACACAGGTCGAGGTAAAAGTGTAAGTTTTGATAGGTATGCAATGGTAGCTGAACTAACTGGTGGATCTGAAATTGGTTCAGGATTAGAGGTTTCTGAATTAGATGAATATTTTTCTGCTTCCTTAGTTAAATATCAAGGAAATGCTTTAGATATTTTACAATGGTGGAGAGTATATGGATCAGTTTTATATCATATACTTTCCACCATGGTTCGTGACTTACTATTAGTACAGGTTTCGACGGTAGCTTCGGAATCGGCCTTCAGCATAGCAGGACGTTTGATCGACGATCACAGGATATGCTTAGATCCGTATACTGTACAAGCGGTGATGTGCTTACAAGATTGGTGGAGGTACGAGAAGCGAACACAAGGCATCGATCGGATTGCTATAATTGAAGATAAATTTAAAGAGTTGGGACTAGCAGATAGATATAAAGATTAGATAATATTCATCAAATTATAATTTTTATTTCTTAGCTTTAAATTTGTAATGAATTATTTCAAAAAAAAGTTACAAATGATAGTGATATGGGTGAGTAGGTGCCAACCTAGTTGGGATTTACTCATATATTGTGATGTAATGAAGTTCGAAATAAATTTATAATTGTAAAGGATTTATGTAGGCTGTCTAAAAATCACAATGGATAGCTGATCCCCATCAAGCTTTAATAATAAAAGTTACAATCGGATGACTTTCATGCCAACAAATGAAAGCTGCAAATGGAGGACTTTTCATATAGATCGAGAAGAGTTACGATTCAACGATACTTCCGAAAACTGATGAAAACTCTATTCAGTGGTCTTCACAATCAACAGTGAGAGTTACAATCTAACGACTTTCACACCCCACAACAACTAAAGCGAGGATTACTGAACAATGGTCCTTGCAACGCTCTACAGAATAAGTTACAAGTCAACTAGCCCCTTCTAAAACGCGGAACTCATCTTCGCGTTACAATTCTTGAAATGCAGGCGACCCCCGCGTTTCCAAGCTGCAATAGGCGAAACGCGAGCGACCCTCGTGTTTTTTACATTCAGTCAACACCCAACTCCGCGTCTCAATTTTAAGACGCGAAGTTAGGGCCCTGAACGCCAAATTAGGCGTTTGACTCATTCAAACACGAGTTGAACGGTTTTAGAACTGATTCCCCCACGATTTGAGGGATTTTCGCCCACTTAGAAGTGAATTTAGGGGTTGGTTACACCCCTTATCCTCCTATAAATAACCGCCTTACTCAACCGAGTAAAGGTGGTTGAAGATTTAAGAATCTAAACCGCACAAGGTTGGACTTTCTGGAGATCAAAGGCGAATTCTTTAGAGATCGAAGATTTCAGCCAGATTTTGAAGATTAAATCTCAAAGGATCCTTCAGCAACAGCAAATCTATTTGATTATTAACCGAAATTTTGGTTCTAATAATTCTGTTACAGAGTTTTAACTCGCTCTAAGTTTTTGAACTCGTTAAGAGTTAACCATCAAACTTACCACATAAGTTCATTGTTCCTACGAGATAAGACGGTCGGATCGTCCACGGAGAACAAATTCAACGAAAGCATTCGAAGGAGGTACTCTATCGCTACCGAGAAGAACCCAGATTTAAACAAAGGGGAGAATCCAGATCATTCTCATCTCTTTTGTAATCAGGAAATCCAATTATAATTGAGATTAAAGGAATACCAATCAATTTTCCTTCATTTTCTTTTTTACTGCAAATTTTCTAACAAACAAAAGATGGCGACTCCATTGGGGACTAGCTTTTCTGACGAAGAAGTGGTGGCACAATCCGACATTCACCTCACAGGAACTACTGTTGAAACTCTCGTTGTGGAGTTTGACCAAGCCAAATACGAGGAAGCCCTCTCCTCTGGATCGTTTAGCCCTAAGGCTAGGCGCAACATCCGTAAGATCTCCAAAGAGACC